AGAAAGTACTTAAGAGAGAGAGAGAGAGAGAGAGAGAGCAATATGCGGAAAAAGAACTATGGTCCCTTTTGCAGGTCTCGCCAACTTTAGCCCTTATAGCGAGCATATTACAAAAACAGGCTTCATCCTTTGCACAATTACGCTATCATGTTTTACGGAATCATTTCCTGTATCATTTGAGGGACCATGAGGTCCAGGGCAAAAGGTTTATACAAGGTTGCAACTTTATACTACAAAGGTTCATTTAGGAAAGGGGTGGTCATGGTGGTAGCATCCCCACACCTAATCCCTACATAGGGATACCTACTCTTACGGCTAACACCCTCAAATTAACATTTTTAAAATGTTACTCCCCAATCTATTGAAAAAAATAAGTAGGGGCTGTTTTTCCCACTGAATTATCCCAACCAAAAAAAAAAATAAAGTTAATTTAAAAAATCTAGTAAAAAAGAACACTCCAAAGTTCAAACACTTTAATTGATCATCTCGACTTTAACATATGTCGATGTACAGAAAAAAAATGAATTTGAAGTTATAAAACTATTGTATTAAGTCATAAAACTATTGTATTTTAAAAAGGAGTGCGGTTTGTATAGAGCTTAGGCTCTAAACAATCAAATTAGATTCAAAGAGTGTTGAGAAATTTGGTTTCAATACAATAAATCTTTGTGATAGCCTTAAAATATATTTTCATATTTATTGATAAAGTTTAAAGCTTTAAAAATAGTGCAGATCGACATATCTATGAAAACTTGAAAATCTTGAAAATTGACTGTATATATTATTTCTAAAATTTGAAATCCATTTTTTTCTCATCTTATGTCAAGATGATTAATTTGAAGATATTTGGGCATCAAAACAACCTCTTCTAGTAAAGTTTTGTAGGTACGTTCAAATTTGATTATTTAGAGCTTCGGCTTTATATAAACTTTTCTCTTTAAAAAGAGTTATCCAGACCATCTATTTTTAAGATTTTCAAGCATTATAAACCTGTTGGATTTGCACTATTTTTAGAGTTTTTAATTTCATAATTAGGATTAAACATGGATTTTCAAGCTACTATGAACTTTCAACATTGAAATTATATCTTTCAACAAAATTTATAGGTGCGCCTTACTTGTATAATGTCATATGGACATTTCATAACCCTCTTTTGTCTTTTATTTTCATTTAGCTAGTGATTCTCCAAATATATTTTAAAGGAAAAAAAATACAAATAGAATTTAATTTTAAATTGGGTGATTATGAATATATATTTGACTAAACTCAAAGGCCAAATAATTATTTTTTTGAACTTTATGAGACATTTCAAGTCATTCGATTTATCAAAGATAAATGGTCTTATAGTATAGATCATATTTTAAAAATATCCATATTGCCCTTGTTCAAGATTAAAACCTTGGACAAGCTGACGTATCTTAATAATTTAAGGAAGGTATTCCTCTTAGTAGCATTCACAAATAAAAAGGGTAATCCCGGGGTAAAATTACAAACTTTGACATGGGAAATAGATATGTTTTAAAAAATGCTTTGAGGAAATATGGAACTCCAATAAAATTTTAAAATAAATTTCTAGTTTTAATTGGAATATTTTGATTCGTTAAAAAAAAAAAAAAAAAAAGGAAAAACTTTGCCTTTGATCCACCAAAAGCCAAACTTTTTTAAGTCCTGTGCAAAATTCCTTCAAATAACAATGCAACAATCCACAATTACAAATTTAGCTTCGCTTAAAGGCTAAGTAACTTGAATGCTCCCGTACAAAAAAAGTCATCAGCTTCGCTTAAAGGCTAAGTAACGGGAATGCCCCGTACAAAAAAAGTCACCTCTCTAAAAAGAATGCATCGTTTACCGTCTCTAAGTTCCTTCGTTCTGTGACCACTGCGCGCAAAGCTTGCAGGCCATGGCTTCTTCCCTACCATTCTCTCTCCTCACTCTGCTCTTCGTTATCACTGCCATTCCATGTAAGAGAAAACTCATTCTCTCTCTAAAACTCACTCTCTCTCTCTAAAACCCACTCTCTCTCTAACCGATTTTTTTTTTCTTGATTCTTCTTTTGATAAGTAGCCATTTTTGCTTCTCTACTCCTGATCTTTCTCTGTCCTTTTGTTGCATGCACCCCAATAGTTTTTCTCTCTCTATCTACCCTAATTTTTACGCTTCTTTTGTAGCTTACACCCCATCTCTCTCTCTCTAGTTTTACTTATGTATCTGGTTTTTTGTCTCACATTGCTCTCTCCTATGCAGGTTTCTCTGAGGTTATATTTGAGGAGGGATACACAGTCGAAACTGTGCTAGACTTCAATAACAAGAAGATTGAAGATCGCGAAATTTTTCCCTTCTCTTTGCAGCCTCTTCCTCAAGGCTTGGTTCTTCTGGACTCGGTTAAAAGCGCCTTCTTTACCATTGCACTGCCTCTCTCTCTAGGTAAGCAATCTCTCTCTCTTTCTCTCTCTCTCTCTCTCTCAACTGTTAAAACCTCATTTTTACCACAATTCCCTCCCGCTCTCTGAGAAAGCTCCTACTTTGCCAATTTACCCCGTCTCTCTCCTAGGCACTGTCAAAGGTGCCTTCTTTACCTTTTCCCCTCAGTCTCTCTCTAAAGAAGGCCATCTTTTCTTTTCTCCTGACATTCTTCTTGCATTTTCTCTTGCTCTCTTGATTTTGATTTTTCATTCTCCCTGGATTTTGATTTTTTCTCCCTTGTAATTGCAGAGAGTGATGTTAGGCTTTTATCTGGTGATGGGAAGGAGGGTTTCTCTGATGGAGATTTAGGGACCGCAGAATTCAACCACCCACGAAGCTTTGCGGTTGATTCTGTTGGGAACATCTATGTTGCACAGAGGAGTGACAATACAATTAGGAAGATCAGTAAAAAGGGTATCTCTTTATTAGTACATATTTCAAGCTCTTTCAGTGGCAAGAAATTTCACTAGGTTTTGTTGTCATTATTCTGGAAATTATATAGTTCATTTTGGAATTTTTTCTAGTTAAGTGTCATTTGTTGTTGTTGTTGTTTTTTTTTTTTTCTGGCCATGTATCTGAAACTCTAGTCCTAATGTCAGATTATCTGAAAGTAAAAGCAAACGTCTTTTTTTTTTGGGGGATTCTTGCTTATTTTTCTCCGTAAGTGTCATGGGGGTTTGAGGATTTTTCCTCCATTGGTCAACAGTGATTTCTTGAAAGGACCAAAGGACTCTTTGATTTCTCGAAAAAGGACCAGAGGAAATAAGAAAAACCCATTTTTAAAACTGCAAATGGCTTTAAAGTAGGACCAGTGGGGTGAGCTGTTTTAGCATAAATTTAGTATTAAATTTTTGTTTTTACGACTTTCCTGCAAAATTTCTGTTTTTGCTGCTTTTTTTTTTTTCAAGGTCTGCCTGAGAAGAAGAATGAATGGTCTGAGGTCTCTTAATCAGTGTTGTCAAGAGTGGACCGGCCATTGGAATAAATGTTATGAGGTTTTTTAATTAGAATCATGGGCCACAAAACTAGTGCGGATTCTGGTTTAGTCAAAACCAATGTGACTGCAGGTCTAACTGTTTTTTCCGGATTTTAAAACTATGAAAGAAATATATAAATAATAGTTGATAAAAATATATGAGAGAAAAAAGTTGTCCATTGTGTGTGGCTAGTTGAACTGTTCGAAACCAGCCTGTCGGACTAGCCAAAACTGGTCTTGACCTCCCTTTTTTTTTTTCTTACCAAGTTTTTACTCTAGATTAGACCGGCCAAGGCACAATTTGGCAGACTGCGGGTTGGTCCGGTCTTGATAATTATGCTCTTAACTAAGAGTCATGACCATAATTTATGATCTGTGACATTGAAAAGGATCAATCATTTTATTTCTCATCTTCTTTTCTTTTTTCACTATATGTTATTTCTTTGTTGAAATCAATCTACAATAAGAATGGTTTTCAATTGCACAATACGTGTCAAAGTGGAACTTATGTTTTGTGTATGTGCCGGTGTTCTATAACTCTAATGAATTGGCTGTCGCTCTCTTGGACTAAAGGGTGTGAAAGAGGAGGTGTAAGTAGTCTGGCATTATTCTTAATGAAATACTAATGCAAATTCGATCATAGATTGCTATATGGTACTTTGAGAAACATATGCCATCTATCCCCAATGATGGACTGTGGAGATTTAAATGTACCTGGGTGAATGTCTGTCATAACAAAGAATGGTTCTCCTCATCTATCCCCAATGATGCACCATATCACATGCACCAAAAGTATCTGGTATGTTATATACTAGATTATGAAGAAAGCTTCATCCAGGAAGGTTGCAAATATCCACAGCTCTTAACTTGATCTTTAGCAAAATCCAGTTTACGAAGTTTAAGTAGGGTTCGGCTTCTTCACTTAGATAGGTTGCTTTAGCCGGGATGTTAACTTCTCTCATTCTATTCCTTGTGGTGAGGGGAGGTGAATGGTTGTTTGTTACGCATGATCTTTGAATGGTTTATGCAAGTGAGGTTGGTTTGTAGGTGGCTTGGTAGCAAAAGGTAGGTAGTTGAGTCCCTTGGTACAAGGGGTGTTTGGATGAGGCTTGGAAAAGCCGAAGTGTTCTATAGCTCTAGTTTATGGTTATTCAATCACTTTTGATTCACAAAATGTTGCACATGGGTATTGTTTTCTTGGTTTCTTTTAAAAATTTGGTGGAGATTGAGAAATAATACACAACTAACAATTAGGTTTGTGCTCCTATGTTCAGTTTCATTTTCATGAAGTTTGAGCGTGGGGGCTAAGTTGTCCTGTTTCTATTTCTCATTCATTCAGCTGTTCCTAATTTTTCTTCGTTTTCATTGTTTTGAATTTTAGGTGTGACAACAATAGCTGGAGGTTCTGGATCTCCTCCTAAGCCAGGTCATGCAGACGGGCCTGGCCAAAATGCAACATTTTCTAATGATTTTGACTTGGTCTTCATTCCAAATATGTGCTCCCTACTGGTTTCTGATAAGGCCAGTAGATTAGTACGTCAAATAAATTTGAAGCCAGAGGATTGTGCACAACCCACCCAGTCAGGTATGCATAAGACTGTTCTTTGGAAATTGTTATATTGATTAAGGGCGATAGCTGAATGCCCTCAGAATATGGTTTTGTGTTATGCCTTATTAGGGTTTTTTAAGCATCAGCAGAAGAGTTCTTACTTGATATATTTGGAGAAATATATCTCATCACATGTGTACCAGCTTTCAGTTCTGAAATGTTTCATTGTAGGACTTAATAAAAATGTATTTGCTTAGTCTTGCTTCAGGTGCTTATGCACATACTTTTTTCATTGGGGGAAAACACTTAGAAGTTAGCTTCCATTACTAGGGAGATTTTTTTTCATTCAGCTTCATACTCACTTCTGTTCCCATTTGGGGAGAAATGATCACTTAGCAAGCCGGTAAATTGATCGATATCTGTTCGTGTGTAAGGATCGTGGAAGACTGGTAAATTGATTTGTCACTTGATGGCAGTGGTTTTCATAAGTTTTGTGCACTTGATTCATTTTCATGTCATAGAATCCAAGCTGCCAGACATGCTTACAAACTCTATATAATGTCTAGGATGCAAATTCTCTAGTACGGTTTTTGTTGAAAGTCTTGAAATTGGTCCTCATATCCCCTATTTGAGTACACAAGTTCTACTAAGAAGCTAAAGACAAGTGGTTCATTAAAAGAATGCCCATGATAATACATCTAGGTTTAATTTAGAGAAACATATTGATACAATCAGAAAAATATAAATAACCATATTGCTGCAAATCAGGGAGGAGTGAGGAGAAGAATACAAAGTGGAAATCACCTGATAGGTGTTTGTGTAGAGGAAAATCAAAACTCATCACTTCCTTTTCATCAACATACATGACTTCTCGTAGACTCCAACCCTAACTTTAGATATTTCTAGATAGTCAGAACCAAGTAACCAAGTTTTGGAGAGTTAAGAGCCGCCTAAAGCCCCTCAAAGCATCTTACTCAAAATAGAAAATTTGTTGGAAATAAACAAAAGAGAATCTTACCCCCAAAAAGGACTAATATTCTCTTCCTAATTTATCCCTAATTTTTTAATGAATTTACCCCAAATTATCGAGCAAAAAATTCCCTAATATAATTTCAAACACCCCACACATATCATGCATATGGAATAGAAAACAAAATGTTAGCACTTCTACTCAACACCCACGCTTTACTGTCAACAACCTCATGTTCAAGGGTGTCTAGATTTCACCATGCATCACCTATCTACTGGTATTTTGATATTGAGAGTACTGAGTGTTATAGGTTATTTTTGACTAACTTGGATCCCAATGTGAATAAAAGAGGAGCCAGTCATGACTCGGGTTCGAGAGTACAAAAAAAGCTCCTGGACTGCGGAAGCACTGAAAGAATAAGCCAAATTTTGAAAGTGTCGGAATGGCTTCCAACTCCATGAGAAGGTGGTAACTCACTCCTAAGGAATCCACGCCAAATTTCAGCGCAATCCGACAAGTTTAAAGCACGTCAGGTCGAAATCCGGATCGGAAATCCAGTTCTTATCATGATGAAAAATACTTCATAATTAGAGCTCTAATTTTTACACCTCAAATGAGCACCAGACCACTTCCATTGGATTCAGAAGGTCCGAAAACCCCTGGATACCAATTTTCAGTTATTTGGATGCTTCTAGACCCCCTTATGCCTAACTTACCCAAAATAGGTAGGTTTTGCACTATTCCCGTGCGGCTTCAATGAACCAGTTTCCATTTTTGGAAATTGCACCCTTTAAACTCTGGATTGAAATTGCTAGGGCCATATCTCCCTCATCTCAAACCCAATTGAGCCCAAATTTTCAGGGTGTGGTGCGTCTCATCGACACGCACATTTTGACATAAGTCTCGACTCGAGATGATGAGCGGATTGAGAGAAATTGAAGAGAGAAGGTGGGCTTGAAAACTCGTGTTGCAAAGAAGAAGACATTTCTTTATCAAATGGCCGTATCTTGAGATCCTGACATCGGATCGTCTTAAAAACGGAACCATTGCCACTGTGATACGAAGGTGAATGTTTCGAGGTAAAGTTTTCATGAGATCAAAGCTTCAAGATGGAGATTTTTAAAGAAGAAATGGCCATAATCCTAGTTAAAAAAAAAAAATAGAAGTCGAGAAGAGAATTTTGATAATCCATAAGGCCATAATCCGTATTTCCATACAATGTTAAAACAGTAAAACCATACAAGCATACACTGATAGTCTGATACACTGTAGACTCTACACACAAAAGTTAAATAGTAGAACTAGAAACTAGAAACTAAAACTAAACTAAAAATAAGAAAACGAAAATCTATAGAAATTTAAAAAATATACAGTTTAGTACACGAGTCAACAATCAACACTCACAGTCATCATCACCATCAGAAGGAATAGGGTAAGCTTCATAATATGCACCGGAATTGAGGCCACATCACCAGAGTCATCTCCCTCTTCAATATAACGCTCGCCCTCCTCAGTTTCTTCTGAATCTATTTCTTCCTCTTGTTCTTCTACCTCCCTCTTACTAGTATGTGCAGATGAGGCCCTAGGAGTCTTGGCTGCTCTACACTTTCTATCTTTTTGTGCTTCCATGAACACAAATATTGTATAATTTTCTCCCTGGTAGTTTCAAGAACATTTTTACACAGGGCAACATCCCCCTTAATACTGACAAGGTGTTTTTTAAACCGGTAAATGCCCCCATTAGTATCCTTTCTACAATAATTACATTTAATATGATTTTTGTCATTCAGATTCAGGTTATAACCATACTTCCAACCCGGATCACCACTTTTAGAACAACCTGGAGAAGATATTTCCATAGAACAAAGCTCATTTTCATTAGTTTCTGGTTTTTTTAAATTCAGAAGTTGTTTAATCTCATCTTAAATAGCTTCAGGAACCTTTTTATGAGAAGCAACATTCCTTTTAATACCGGCATGATGTTTCTTGAATCGGTTAACATCCCCATTGGTATCTTTTTGCACAAAAATTACATCTTATATAATTTTTATCGTTTGCTTTTGGGTTATGACCATACTTCCAACCTAGATCACTTCTTCTAGAAGTAGCAAAAATAGACCTATTCCTGTTTTTGTTGTACATAACTCATATATTGCTTAATCTCGTCTTTGATAACTTCAGGAATTTTTACAAGGGATAATATCCCCCTTAATACTGCCAAGATGCTTTTTAAACCGGTTTATGCCCCATTTCGTATCTTTTTCACAAAAATTGCATCTAATACAATTTTTGTCATTTGGATTGGGGTTATATCCATATTTCCAACCCGGATCTCCACTTCGACTAGATCCTGGAGAAGACATCTCAAAATAAAACAAGCAATCTAAAAAATAAATTTTTGCACTTACTTTGATTGCTCAAACTCCAAACTCCAAACTCCCACCTCTAAGATGTTTTATGGTGTTAAAATAATAAAAAACACCCTCTAATAGGATTATAAAACTCAAAAACTAAATCAAATCTACCTGGGTGATGTTTGGATCCGTTTTCTGTAACTTTGATAAACACTTCGATTCAATGACAGTCACGAAATTTAGTTTTCTTGAGGTTTATTTCTTTCTAAAATGGGTTCTTGTGGGTTTAGGTTTGAAATGAACCTAAAACCCTTCATTCAAACCCTTTATATTTCAAAAAAATCAACACAATGAAAAAAAAAAAAATTCCGACCCTAGGCGGGGCGTAAGCCTTGGGCTCCCCGCCTAGGTGGGTTCCGTACTGCCTAGGCGGCCGCCCAGGGATTGCAGCCCAGTTTGGCCGCCTAGGCCTAGGCGATGCGCCCAAGCCTTCTTGACCGCCTAGGCACTGGGCGATCCGCTTTTTTGAACACTGCTCACTCCCTCTCTCTCACTCACTCTCTTCCTCATCACCCCCTCTTTATCTGTCCAAATCTTTATCTCTCTCCCTCGTCACTCTCTTTGCTCTCTCCAAATCTCTCTCTCTCTCCCTCGTCACTCTCGTTGCTCTCTCCAAATCTCTCTCCCTCCCTTGTCACTCTTTCTCTCTCCTTCAGATCTCTCTTTCACTCTCCTTCAGATCTCTCTTTCACTCTCTCTCGCAATCTCTCTCTCCTCTCCCATTCGGACCTGTGGCCTTACCCCGCAGGTATCTCTCTCTCAAGGGCAGCAGCACCTGCCGCCCCCTATTCTCTCTCTCATTCTTCTCTTCCTCTCTTTGCTCTCTCACTCCCTCTCTCTCACTCTCTCTCCCTTTTCTCTCTCTCTCTCACGAGCTGCAGCTCTCTCATTTGAGCTTGTGGCCTTCCCCCGCAAATCTCTCTCTCTCTCTCATGGGCAGCAATAGGGGGCTACCCCCTTTTGTCTCTCTCGTTCATCTCTTCCTCTTTCTTCTCTCTCTACTCTCTCTCCTCACTCTCTCTCCTACTCCACTTACGGCCTACACCCCACTATCTCTCTCCTTCGTCTTTCCTTTCGTCATATTCTCTCTCGTCACTCTCTCTCTCTCTCCCCTCCTTCATGGACAGCAGCGGGCTGCTGTCCCTTTTCTTCTTTCTCTTCCTCTCTTTCTCTTTCCCTCTCTCTCACTCTCTTTCCCTTCCCTCTCGTCATTCTCTGTCTTACTTACGGGACAGCAGCCGAGCTGCTTTTACCTTCTCTCTCTCGCCCTTACGGGGTTGCTGCCCCCATTTCTCTTTCTCTGCCTCTTTCTCTCTGTCTCTCTACCCTCCCCTTCTTCATTCTTCGCTCCTCTACCCCTCTCTTTATTCACTCTCATTCCGTTTCATTAAGAAACCCACTCTCCCTCTATATTTCTTGAAGTTCTCTATCATAAAGCCATCACTCTATTTCTAGAAAATACAAAACTCTCTTTCATAAATTTTCATCCTTCCTTCACTTCTTAAAACTCTTCTACCCTTTTTCCAAAAAAATTTACATCATTTCTTTACCTTTTAACCTTTATCTTTACCACACATTTTCGCCCATTTCATTTGATTTTAACATTCCTAAAGATTACCATTTCCTTTCATGACCACCCATTATCATTCATGCATGCATGGACTTCATTTATTTTATTCATTATCATCATGCATCATACATCAGGGGGCTCTTCGGAAACGATTCATGCGATGGGTTTAACTCGCAAGTGTCCGTTTCCTAAATCCTCCGGGTATCTCGATCACAAGTCGAGTACCTTTCATGTGTCAATCGATAATACCTCTTGGGAGAGGTGATGCCAGAAGGTTGCCCATTTTTCATCAACATATTTTTAATCTTTTTAACTACTTGGTGCCCGTTTTTCAGGTCAAACTTCCCCTTGTTTTCTACCATTTCTCTCTTCTATCTGTCTGAAGTTCTTAACCCATAACTGACCCTTGTTTTCTACCACATCTCTGAATTCGACTGTCCTTACAATGCGATTCGCCCTCTTAGATCACTTACAAAACGGAATGAGAGTGAATAAAGAGGGGTAGAGGGGCGAAGAATGAAGAACGGGAGGGGTAGAGAGATAGAAGAGAGAGATGGTCGAATTCGGCTCCATCGGTTTGAAAACAATCACATTGTAAGGACAGTTGAATTCTGAGAGATGGTAGAAAACACAGAGAGAATGAATTTCAAACCGCATTGTAAGGACAGTCGGAGGGCTTTCTAAGTGATCTAAGAGTCGCTCTGACACGCCCCCAAACCCAATTGGTGAGGTAGGTGCTCGAGCCCTTTCTCGACGACCAAAATCTCTCTTATATTGGTTCCTATCCGCACGCACACGCACGCGTGGGCCCCACGGTTGTTCGAGTGAGGATTCCTCTGACCAGGTCACCTCGGGGCGATGAGAAATTAGGCCCAACCATTGAGTTCTTTATTCGACCACTCCACAAATCCCAGCATTCAGACAACATATTGATGGCAAATTTGAAATGTCTTCATTCTAGGAAATTTGTTGATGCAGTTAGTGAAGAAATCAATAATCATTTATATGTCTTTCTGAAAGATCCATAATGGTTCAAATCATGATAGTCACCTTGCTTGTGTCGAACCCCACAAAATAGAGATTGTTCAAAATTCCTTCCTCGGAGGACCTATTAGTTCTTTGAAAGAAACAACTCCATGGGGACAACCGGACATTGCTTTATATGGCAAGTTGAATTGGGAACTTCGTGCCAGCATTTCTACATTTTGAATCCTAAAATTATCAAGGGGATTCTATGGGCTGCAAAGTATAATAGTGATTTTGAAGATACAGAAAATCTGTTAAAATAAAAAGCGGCAAATCTTTTCATGATGGGCTCTATAATAGAGTTTTACTCACTAATAAGCTAATGAAATATCATACAGTATATATGATTGTAAAATTTGAAGTGAAGTACCAAAAATTGCTTAAATGCGGAAAAATTTGTTGAAGGTCATTGCTGGCCTCAAACAGTCGCTGCACAGTCTGGACAGAAAGATAGCAAGCTTTATATCTTTAGTATGCGTCCTAGATAAGGGAAGGTTTATGCTTTCTACCACCACTCTTTTAGGGTTTTTGTCCCACAACATCCAAGCTTAAGAGGGTACTATGTGCTCAATAATATAAAAAGTGGCCGAGTCTCCTCTTCTTGTTGTACATATTGAGTAAGGTTTAAGAGAAACAAAATATATTGTCTACTCCTTTTTGTGTGTGGAAATACTCCACATTTTGGAAAATTTTAAAATATTGGAATTCTTACAACTAAAATGAGTTCAATAACTGCATTCTGAAGATTAACAAAATTTTTATATTAGATATACCCATATCCATAGAAGTATTTTGGCATAGGTTGAGAAATGAAGGACAAATTTGAAAGGTCACACTAACCCCTTTGACATAGAATAGGATATAAATGTGAAGTTTTCCCTTTCATTTTATTGCACTCCACTCATATAAATGACCGTTTCAACCTTGTTTCCTCAAACAACAATTTCCTGGTTCTATTGGTCCTTCATCATCATCATCATCTTTTGAGCCTTATCCCAACTACTTGGATCGGCTAATATGTTCAGGATTTATGAAAAGATGTGGTAAAGTTTTACGCTGGCTGCCTTATCTAACATAGCCCTCCTCGTTTATGCGGGCTTGGGACCAGCATGATCAGCTTACTGGCCATGGAGGAGATTTTTGGGGCCATTCCATTAAAGAAGATTAAAACCTTTAGGAATTACAAAAAATGTAGAAAATCTGTCTTATTAAACTTATAGGATTTGACTTGAACCAGAGGGTTTTCATTGTTGAACCCTCCATGATGTTCTTCTTAGCCAAGTTGGAACAACCTATGAGGCTCAAAGGTTTATGTCTCCTCTTCAAACCACATAGTCCTTAGAGAACTTGCACTCATCTTACCCACTTGTAATTTACCAAGATGTGAAATCCTGGAATGTTTTGGTGTATTCACATTGGAATATGAGGCTTGGCAATTTTTTATTGTCCTTTCAGGGAATTCTGGGGCAATCTATTATTGAGGAAGTCTAAAGAAACCTCAAGAAATTGAAGAGCCTTACTTTCAAAAAAAATCTCCTTGGATTACAAAAATTGTCTGTATGGAGTTTTATCCGATATTGATTTATCTGTTGGTTCTTCATTTATCCATGTTAATCGTTCAGGATGTGTCTCAATATTGAAAACTGCTTGGCTTTGTAGTGTGTATATTGGAGTTTGAGTGCCTGCTGATAGTTGAAAAGTGGTTGCTGCAGTAAATTCCTAAAGCTCAGATGCTAGTTGACAACCCATAAATCTTGTGCTCTGGGTTTCCCTTCCTGCACCACAATTGTCAATTTGTGTATACATCATCTATGTTGCACTTCACCAAATCTTGGACAAGAATTCAGATCATTCATTGCCTTTACGAGAGAGCTTTTAGATGCTGGTTCATCTGATAGAGTATTAGACTGTTGGTTCCAAAGCATTAGGATTGCAGTAGTAGGCACCATATTTCTAGTTGGTCTGTGGCCCTTTTGTAGTTGTTTGGTTACTTGGTGTTGGTTGGTTTTACTGTTGGGATGACCAAAATTATGAACAATGCTTTGGGATTGGTTTCCCTCATCCATTATGGCATGGACATCGGTACATTCTCAAGTTCCCAACTTTAGCTAGCCATCAAGATGCCAAGCTAGCCAGTGCTCAGACTTGAAGCAAAAGTAGAGGTGCAGTTTGCAAATGCCATGTTGATTACACAATACCACAGCTCCAAAAGTGTTGTTTTGCCTCTGAATTTTATTTCAAAGAAAAAAAAAATCACCTCAGAACCATCAAAAGATGTTGAACTTGCTCAAAATTATGTGAAAATTGATGGTCGATATGTAATTGCTATCGCCAATATACAGGCTGAGGTTATGAACTTCCAATATTCCATCGACCTTTAGAAAGCAAAGTTATTGGAATTGAAATCCATAGTGGCCTATACGCCAAGTGGTTTAGGTTATGAGCTTTCAATATTCCATTGACCTCTAGAAAGCAAACTTATTGGAATTGAAATCCATAGTTGCCTACAGCATGGTTAATTAGAAGTTTCTGTAGACAACTCGTATGAAGAATCGTACTTCTTCAAAATATAACAAGGGACTTTAATATCACATATTCACTCACTGAAAAACTGCTATGTGCTTGACTTGGTATGTCAGATTATACAGCGCCCCCATGACATTCCACAGAGAGAGAGAGATTGGAAGAGCAGATGGTATTTCTCCATCATCTATGAAAATTAAGTTGCTGCAATCACTACAGAAGCATCTATGGTAAGGTCAAAGCTTGAAGAGATTGGTTTTTCTTTCACACATGCATGGTCCTATATTATCGTAACAAGGGGCCGTGCTTCCCCTCCCTTGCAAGAACAGGACACATTACGTTGGGAGTTCATCTAGATATGTGATTATACTTCTATTTCTTGCGGAGGGATAACCCTTATTTGGTTACTCATTGATCCAAAGAAGCTACAAAAATGCTGGTATGATGTTACCTTATAAATCACCTTCATTAAATTAATAAAACTGGTTATTTGTGTTTGTGTGTGCTATATTAATCATGGATGCATCTGAGATAATTTTATTTCAGGCTATAATTGCAGCCATTTTCAGATAGTCCATGTGCAACTTAAATAAAGAAGAATTATCTAATTAGTCTTAGTCATTTAATTTACCTACGAAGACTAACTGGGGCATATTTCATGATTACTGATACTAATATTTCCACTAGTATTATATCATAGCTTTTCTCTATAGACCTTTATTCTCTCTTTTATTGATCTGTGGATTCTTTTTCTTTGTATTATGTTGGGGAGCGTAGTTTGCATGAGGGACAAATTTAAGTTTGAATAACCATCTCCTCCCTTATGCAAACTGGGTATTACACTATCAGACCAAAGGCAGGATAACTTTTTCGATTTTTGATACTTTTGTGATGTGGATTTGTCTTTGGTTATTTGTTCTTTTTCCCTTTTCTTGTATGTCATTTTGTGTATTTGTCTTGATGGTTTTTGTTCATGAAATGGAACGAAATCTGCATAGAAGGCTTGAAGACTACTTTCCCATGAAAAATCTTGTTTAATTTAGTATGCAAATCTCATTCCCAACTTATTTGAGTACATTTTAATCTTAAAATTCATATGATAGTACATTTTAATCTTAAAATTCATATGAATTTCCAGAGTTGGGTATGGCTTCAATCTCCATCATAGCAGCCATATGTTTGATGTGTTTGCTTATTGGCTTAATCGCGGGGTTCATGGCACGACGATTTATCGTCTCTCATGTATGTAACACTTGGTTCTTTCTAGTTATCTTGATAACAATTAACTTCCAGAACTCTTTATGAATAGTTCATTCTCTTAATCTGTCTCCAATCTCTGTAGACAGGAAGGGCTCACTCGCCTTTGGTTCAGCAAGACATGGAAGCGCTTCCTAATCCAACTGGGGAGTCAAGCACCGATAACCTTCTTCGACATCAGAAGCGCAGCTGCTAAGTCTCCATTTTACAAGCTTTTGGGTAGGGTTGTAGGTTTGAGCATTTCCCAATTTTCTCTTATGTTCAGAATTCCTAGAGTGAGAGAGAGTCCCAAAAGGGTAGAAATCTCTCTAATGGATTCAGATGTGGATAGCCACGTTTCTGTGAATTCTCAAACTCCAGCCGATCCATTGGCTGATCTGATGAATTTTGATGGGGCCATGGATGGATTCATAGTGGAGAGAGAATCACCTAGCCGAACGATATTAGAGAGAGATTCCATTGAAGTGGGTAGTGAGAGACTTCAGTCTGCAAGTTATAATAAACCAAAGATAGCCAAAGTGATCGAGGAAAGCATCTCAAAATTCGATGATGAAGCAAAAGACGGAGTTTGTAGTGAAAGGAATCTCAGTAGTTCATCTTTGGTCAGTAGAAGGTCAAAAGTTGGGAGGTAGTATTCCTTACTTTTAGTTTAGGTGTTGTTTATTCCATATTGTTAGGGGCATTTTGGTGATTTGTAAATGGCTTTGGTTGTTAATGAGGGGATTCCAGTTGGTTCCAATCTGAAAAATTGAGAGTTTGTATGACTAAGTTGATCTTGGCAACTTTTTTACTTTTTTGGTGAAAGTGGGGAAGGATGGCAAATAGTAATCCCTCAAATGGTATTTACTGTGAGGATTTCCTGCTCCATTTGTTTGTGAAAATGAGGGAAACATAGAAAAGTATGGGAATATAAAATTTAGTTCTTTTGGGAAAGCAACGAATATTTTGAGGAAGACAGAAAGCATCAATGGAGTTCCTCAGTTCATTTAGAAAAGCATTTGTCCCATGCTAGGAGCTAACTATTAAAGCTCATGCCTCTACCCATTCTTTTCTGCACTAGGGGGAAAGAGCATAAAATTCGAGTAGGTATACTGTTCATTTACTCTCTCGGGTAAAATCCTAGGAATATTTTCATCATTATACTAGCTAGTGACTTCACAAAAAAATAAAAAACTCAGATCTCACTCTGTATATACCTGAAAAAAATAACTTCTTAAGATTGAATAATGACTGTTCAATTTTTTGAAGTGTGAGATTTAAGTGTTGAAGAATTGAAAATTCAGGTTTTTTTAGAGAATAATTATATGACAAACCATAAGTGGAAATCCAAATTTTATGTAGAGAAAAATCTCTCGGATAGCTCTTTCACTAGGAAGTGGATTATAGTTTGTTTTTTATAGAGAATGGCATACATGGTGTATGAATATCATAGTCACGCCTGTTCCTTTGTGAAAGGGATTTCAAAAATGATTTTTAAGTTGGCCGACACATTGAATGATCACTACAAGCATGCTTTTTATGAGTCTGCGAACTCATATATAGGTATGCGCCCTCTCTCCGTGACTCATTTTTTAGACGGATCTTAAACCTAATTCATTAGGAACATATAATCTCTAACATGGGCATCATTAACATACAAAAAAATAAAAATAAACATTATAAATGATATTTATTTTAAGAATAATTTTGGACCATAATTTTTATGATTTTTTTGGAACTGCCATCTTTTTGCGTCCATCCTCGAGATGGAAGTTTGATGTCTCTAGGGATGTTAATGTAGAATTGCGTCCCCTGACCAGCAATGCATTTTTCCAAAATATATAACATAAAATTTCAATATTAAAGCATAAGATTTTCCACAATGGCGTGTGGGGAGAGAGAGGGGGAGAGAAGGGCCTTTCAAAGGAGAGGAAGGGGGCCGGGGAGGGGGGGGGGAGGGGGGCGGCTTTTACATATAATTGGAGTTTTGTATTGTCTGGATCGTTTAAAAATCCGTAACGGCAAGGTGAGCAGGGCCATTTGGGAACCGGTCCGGGTCGATGAATTGTCAATTTAGATTGGCGTTTTAGAAATTGGCCTATTAAAAAATGAGAAAAACTAAAATTGATAGTAAAAAAAAAAAGTGGGGCCAGAATGGCTGGTTCTTTGACAGAACCAGTCAATTCCTGGAAGGAATTGCCCAATTCCCGATATATTGAGGGAGCATGACAAGTCCCCTTGAAAACTGGTCCAGATTGAGTAATTCTTATTTGAATGGGCATTTTTAAGATGGTGTGGTTTGCATAAGGTTGCAACATTAAACAATCAAGGTGTACCGCTAAATTTCAACTTAAGAATGTAATTTTGGTTTTAAGAATTTTTAGGACGGCCTAATAATCCATTTTTATTTATAATCATAATTTTTTTAGACTCAAATCAGAGTAGATCTATAAACACATGAAAATCCTAAAAATGGACAGTCCAGATAATGTGTTGCAAGATGCATTATTTTTGGGACTTCAAATATTTTTTTGTTTTTTTTTTTTTTTATATTCATATATCTCAATGTCGAGAAAATCAATTAGAGAGTTTTCCGAACTTCAAAAAATGTTTTTACGATATAGTTTGTAGGTACACCTTAATTCTACATTCTAAAGTTACAACCTTATATAAAGTTTTTTTCCTTTCAAGACGCTGATGGCATGGTCTTATCTTATCAATGGAAAAGTTCGCAAACTGGTGTACCAGTGAGGGATGAGGAACGGCTAGTCATTGTCTTATTTTACTGATTGAAAAGTTGGTTGCCTTCCCAAATGCAACTATCCAGATGTTCTTCTTTACCTACCATCCTTCCGATGGATTTTAGATCTAAAGGCAGTGTTTAAGTTAGTTTGGATGATGTAGCTCAAAAAATAGTGTAAATCTCATGATTGGTAAAGAACACTAAATGTATTTTGGTTAAGATTAGACCATGTAACTCAAAAAATAATGCAGATTTGATGATTGCTGAAAAACTAAATTGAATGGTGTAGAAATAAAATTCAAAATAATTTATATTAAGGTCCGCAGCCAATTTTTCATATTCTTTTTTTTATTGGTCGAAATTGTGACCTACGAAATTTTAGATCCAAGATAGAAGGAGACTGCATCTAAATGAGTATGTTAGCTCTCTCACACATTTTTTGGATGAGGCTGCGTTGGTTCAGGCACCAAAACCCCAAAGAGGACAAGTTTTATAGAGGAGCAATTAAGTTAACCCCTTGTTTCTTGCTTGACAAGAGTCTTTATTTTTCTTTTATTTTTTTAACTTTCTTGAGCTTTGAAAACAAAGTGTTAACTAAATAAATGGTTAATTTAGATTATGAAATTAAAAGGAGAGTAGTAAACAAGTATTTCAGCAGGCATAAGCATGCCAGTGCTCACAAACCCACAAAGCATTCCTGCTTTCAAGTAAAAGATGAAGGACTTACTTCCAATTCAGGCAAGAGAATATTAAATTATAAGAGAAAGAGAGGGGATCAAATTACAAGAAAATATTAAATTATAAGAGAAAGTGAGGGGATCAAATTACAGAGAGAGAGGGAAGAGATGTGGAAAAAAATATTAAAATTAGACCCTTGAGAGAGAGATGTGCCCCTGACCATTGAAAGACTTGGAAGTTTAGAAGTTAGAACCAAGGAGATAAACTGTGCTTTGAGAGGAGTGCATGTGCTTATAATAAGAGAGAGAGAGAGAGAAAGAGAGAGAGAGAGAGTCTATGCTTTGCCAGTGCCTTTGGATGCGTGCTTTGGGGGGCGGAGAGTGTGTTTGCGTTGAGAGAAGTGTTTGCATGTGTGTGTGCGAGAGAGAAAGAGAGAGTGTGTGAGTGTGTTTGTATGTGAAAGAGTCTGTGTGTTTGTATGTGTGTGTGAGAGAGAGAGAGACAGAGAGAGAGGACAGAGAGACTGGTTTGAGAGTCTGTTGGGGTGCGTACTTTGGATAAGAAGAGAGACAGAAAGGGGCCTCTGATCAGTGAGAGATTTAGAGCAGAGGAGAGACGATGTGCTTTGAGAGAAGATTGTAAGTTTGGATGTATGTGTGAGAGAGAGAGATGGGGCAGCATGTGGAATTCCTGAAAAGAAGAAAAAAGAAACAGAAAGACATGCTCTTCAGATGCAGCAGCAAAGCATAAACCAGCCTTTTGCAACGGCAACCTGCCTCTGAAGACTTTTAATATTTATACACAACTTTCCTCTCTCCTCCTGCTACCCCTACCCTTTCTTTAATCCACAAAACCCATAGAAAAGCTTCCCCTCCACCAACATAAAACATAACACAAACCCATAAAAACCCATCTCCCTCCATCAAAAGAAAAATAAAAAGAAAGATTTAGAGGTAGGTATAATTTTACATTACATGAACAAGATCCAGACTTCCAACTAACAGTCCAGATCCTACTCCCCGCCATAAGAGCAATCCCGACCATCCATTAATTCTATAATTTTCCCTCTTTTCTCTCAGAAATTGCGAGAAAACCCCACTGAATTAATCCTTGGCCTTATGTTATGGTAGTCATACATGGGATCACCATAATCCACAGGCTTAATCTCCACAGCTTCTCGCCTTCCTCCTTGTTCTTGCACAGCTCCAAAAACAATTTCATTGTTTGAATCAGTGCTCTGTTCGTAGTAAGTCTCCGCAACCGAAGAATAATGGCGAAGAGGCTGAATTCTCTCCCTCTCTAGCTGCTGCTCTCCCTCTCCTCCATGATAATAGACCCGACCATGCTGACCTCTTTCTCTCTCCATCTGTTGCTCTCCCTCACCTCCATGATAGTAAACTCTCCCATGGCCAAGCCTGAAACTATGGGACTTTTCAGGGTCTCTAAGCATGAAAGGATAAGTCTTTCGAGGAGTTGGGGTTCGAGTTTCAAGAGGTGGGGGCTCATCTTCATCTCTGATTATAAAGCTATCTTGTAATGGCCAATTTGATCGCCTTGAACTTGGTGGATTGTTGGTTTGGTAATGGTGGTGGTTCTGGCTATGGTTCTTGTTGGTCTGGTTTTTCCTTCTAAAAATGGAAAAGAAAGCTCCGATGATTTCGGACAGGGAAGCAATAATGTCGATAAAGAATTTGCCAAAAGAGACCCACCCGGCATCTGGTTTTTCAAGTTCCGGGTCATCAGATGGTATCAGTGGTGGTCGACCTGATTTGTACGGTGGGTAGGTTGGAGTGGAGGTGTTTAGCTTCATGGGGTAGTCTGAATCATCCTGTAGAGGAAGACACTCATTTACCATAAATTACCAAAAAAGCAAAACAAAATCCATTTATTGTTGTTCTTATGGCTACTTCACTGTTTCTTTCCCTAGAACTGCTATTTCACTCCCACGCAGAACCATAACATATATGTATAGAATTGTATGTCTCTCTAGCTGTCCAGTTGCTTTTCTCTCAACAAAGCAAAATGCAACTTCTCTCTTTACCTGATCAGAAGGTACCAACTCGAAATGCACTTTCCTCATTATGGACTCTCTCTAGAGGTGCAAGTTTCTTGACATGGGAATTTGGTTCCTTTTCTAGAAATGCATGTTTCTCTTAATGGAGATTAAGATTGGTTCTCTCTAGAGCTCTATGTTTCCGATTAAGATGGGAGTGAATTCACAGTAAACTACCATGGAAGAGCAACAGCATCAATAACAACAAAATAGAACAGGTGATCGTTGTACTAAGTTATCCGTGCTGGGATTTCCTAGAGAGGAAAGAACAGAAACAACATATGGTCTTGTCTCTGATGGACAAGAATCAGAGAGACGACTTGTAGTAGATGTCATGCAAACAATTGACGAGGAATGCATTCTAATGGGGCATCAACAACTTGGCTAGGTAAGGCTGAGCCTATCTGTTCTAAGTATACCAGTATAGCATACGTAAGCGAGGTTTCAGACCTTGAAGTATTTTCATGAGAACAAAAAGAACTAACCTTACTAGGAGAAACCAGACCTCCAATTCTTCTCTGAAGCAGGGCAAGCAGGTAACCCAACACCACTGACCCAACAATCACTGCAATCCCTGCATATCATGTGATTCACTAACAAGTAATAACAATGACTATAGCTGTGGTGAGAAAGAGATAAATAAGTAAGAACATAGAGTCTGGGTCTTAACCTGAGAGAGAGAGAGAGAGGTCAAGACTTTGTTTTTATGTGTGTGTGTGCGCACGTGTGTGTATGAGAGAGAGAGAGCAGTTCGTGAAAAGCAAGTCTCTGTTCTTTTACCTGAAGGAAAACTAGAGCCATATTGGTAAGCACAATGGTCGTAATGGAGCTGAATCTCTCGAATGGCCTGGTTTCCTCTGTCAATCACTAGCAAAGAGCAGCTGCTCCCAACATAAACCACATCAAAGTCATCTGAAAACCGAGCTTCCTCACTTGGCCCATCCACATGTCCCCCTCCTCTGCTCCACTTCCCACCCGCAATGGTGGTAACTCCTGTGAACCGAGAGAGAGAGAGAGTATAAAAAGCTCAGCACGGATTTTAGAGAGCGCAACATGTTATACTCGGCTGTTCTCTATTCAATGAGAGAAGGAAAAAAGTGCAATTTGGGTTATTCTATAGAGATCAGAGTGTTCAAATTGGGTTTGTGAAGAGAATCATGATGTTTGTTATGGGTTTGAAAAGACATCAAAACTTCAATGTGGGTTTGCGAGGAGAATCAAATTGTTCAATTTGAGTTTGTAAAAGGAGAGGTTAATATGCGGAACTTGGGTTTTTTAAGAGAGCGAAGTTTCAATTTATGTTTTAGAAGAGAGGCCAAAAGCCTCAAATTGGGTTTCTGAATTCTAATCCTCGAGGTTTTGACGAAGTTTTAGGGTTTTGGGGGTTTAGGGTTAAATCTCAACGCACATTACCTGTTTCACTTATCTTTCTAATGGCCATGTTCATACAGTCAGCAACATAGACATTGCCTTTATCATCGACTGCAAAACCCTTAGGGTGGTTCATACGCGCCTCTCTTAGCTTGCCATCAACATGCCCAGAATACCCATCTGCTGATCCAGCTACCAGCCTTGCCCTGCTATCTGTTTCTCTCTCATACATTCAAACCCAAAACCCCTGTTTCAGCTGACATGTGGGATTTGAAGAGAGAGAGATATCCATTGGAGCTAGAAAACATGGAACTTATTTCCGATCTAAAAGAAACATAGAGGCTTAAAATCCATTGAACTGGAAAGGTGGAATTTGGGAGCTAGAGAAACAAATCCAAAACCGCATTGGATATAAAGAGATAAAATTTGGATTTAGTGAGAGAAAGACCCATTGGGGTAAAAAGATGGAATTTTGTAGAGAGAGATTGGAGCTAAAAAGATCTGGTTTCACAGATAGAGAGATTAAAACTCCTTTGGGCTAAAAATATGGGACATTGGTTAGAGAGCGATCAAAAACCCCATTAGAGCTAAATAGATCGACATTGGGTTCAGAGAGAGAGAGGGAGAGAACCCCATTGGAGCTAAAAAGAGGGACATTGGGTTCAGAGAGAGAGAGAGACTTACATCGAGACAAGGGAAGTGAAACCCTGTAGAGATTGCTATTCACTGAATCAAGTACAAGTAGATCCCCAGAAGGTGAGACCTGCACAGAGTAAGGCTCAATCCCAAGCTTGCTGCCATCGAACACAGTCTCAACTGCGTATCCACTCTCAAACTGCATCATTGGTCGCCCAGAAAGCACAGCAACTACACCATTTTCAAAACCAATGAAAGATTAAACACAGGAACCAATTCCTAAACCCTTAACAGATCAAAAATTGCAAAAAAAAAAAAAGATCCATTAAAAATGAGAGAAAAAAGATGGGTTCTTTTATTTATTTTCATTTCTACATGAAAAGCAAAATAAATGGGTTATTTTGCCTTTAGATCCTATTTCACAGAGAAGAGAAAAGATGGGATATTTTTATCCTTCTATACATTGTACCTGTTTTAGTAGTTACAGGCAGAGACCAGAGCCACTTCCACAGAGAAGAAAACGTGCTTGATATGAAATCTTTCACAAAACCTGCAACAGAGAATAGAGAGAAAGAGAGATTTAGAGATAGAGCGAAAGCGAGTGAGCTATTTGGCAGGGAAGGGTGCTTAAATACCTGGAGGAGCAGCTGAAGATGAAGGTGCCATAGCAACAAACACAACGGCAAAGGCAAAAAGCAGAGGCATTATTCGGTTTCCCATACTAATAGGAAGCTTGTTTGAACTGTGAAACCTCAAAAACCAGGAAAACAGACTATGCTAATGCTAATACTATCATCATATGATGATGATCTGAACCAGAGGGAGAAAACCCACCACCATATTAGGCAAGGGGACGCACATTGTATACTCAAGCTTACGAAATAAGCAGAAGAGAGAGACAGGAGGGTCTACTGATTTAGAGAGAAGAGTGAAGTGAGGGAGAGAGAGAGAGGGGCGGTGCTTTAGAGAGAGAGTGTGAAGTGGGTGTTTTTCTTTCCTTTTTTAGGGAATGTGTGGAGAGAGAGAGAGAGGAGTCTGACACAGGCAATGAGAGAGAAAGGAGAGGAGGGAATCTTATCTTAGGGCTAGGCTAGTGAATTCAGGGCGGTTCATTATAGAGAGATAGATTTGCTTAAAAGAGGTCATGGATTTGATTACAGATGGGGAAAAGAAGCCTTGGGATATGGAGGAGGTGCAAAAAAATGGTTAAACTACAGGACAAATTTTAGAGACAAGAAAAGACTTGAGAGATTTTTAATCATGCAGAATTTGGGTCCATTTTTGTAACTTCTATCTGTGAATAAACCATGAGAAAAGATTATCACTGCCTGAAACCCAAAAAAAAAAAAAGTAGTCCTTCTCTCTCTCTCTAAAAAAAACTGTCTCTTCTCTCTCTCCTTTGATGAGGCATCACAGTGTCCTATGCATGTGAACTGTTTTATGAGTTGGCTGCTTTCTTGGGTGTTAGTAGGATGGTGGGAATTGGGATTTGGTTTTGTTAGAGAGAGAAAGTTGGTCTTATGCTTTCTTGGGTGTTAGTAGGATGGTGGGAATGGGGATTTGGTTTTGTTAGAGAGAGAAAGTTGGTCTTATTAATGATGGTTGTCTCTTTCATTCTTTTTTAGATACCCAGAGCCTCTCCCCTAACTCAGTATTGCAACCATGCCCCTGCCCACAAAACTTTCAGTGCCTGTTAATGGCTTGTCTCTTCTTATTTCCTTTTGATAAGATACTGTTCCATTGAAGGGACTACAATAATTTCATACTTTACCCTGAGTTATACTATTCCAATGAGGGGAGAACAACCATTATATCATTTTTATTCATGTTATCTCAAGCTCTCTCTCATGCTGTATGTTTTTATTTCCAAAACAGTTCCTACTCCCTCAGGAGTCTAATTTCTAGTTACTCCCTCAGGTAAATATATAAATTTGTGAGATGTAATTTCTACTACCCATAGAATAATCTCAAAAAAAAAGAAAGAAATCAATTCTCTATATGCTAGAAAAAAAAACTATTGGCTCAAGACTGAATAGAGACAATCTAATTTTTGTAGAGTTAGATCTAAATACAACAAAACTCAAAATTCAATTTTTGTAACTTAGATTTGAGTAAATGAACAGTTTGCTATCACTCTTTTTTATTTGTATTCCATGGTGGCAAGGATCTAAGGCCAACATTGTCAAAAGAGTGGGTCCCATGCAGCTCTAAGCTTTGTTGTTGCATTTCAATTTTCAGGCCTCAGCCAAAGCTCTTCTAAGATCTCTTAAAAGAGTTCTAAAGCAAGTTAGAATAAAGTAGCAAAGGGTAATCACAGGGGATATCGTTTTATAATAGAAGTAGAATGGAATCAATACCACACATGAATTCTTTTGACTATTGTGTTTTAGTTGAGTCAAGGGCTCCCGAGAAGGAGAGAGATATTAACATTTAGTCCCAACTTAGGACCTCGAGAGAGCGTCCATTATAAATATTATGCTCCTATGGGAGCATATATTATCCGTTTTCTCTTTCGGGAGAGCGTCCATTATAAATATTATGCTCCTATGGGAGCATATATTATCCGTTTTCTCTGTCGGGCTAAAGTCCTACTCACAAACATTTTTCGAATCTAAAGTTTTGGGAACTATGTAAGAATCGCTACGCTAGATGATTATTTTTAAAAGATAAAATTTGAATTGCAAGTTTTCTAACATTAGATCTTATTATCAAAAAATTGGATGGTCTCAATTTAATCTCTAGACATTATTTTTTTGAAGTGCATAGAGTGTAGATCTGGACATTATTGTTTTGAAGTGCATAGAGTGTAGATCTGGAATTAGAATTTGCCCAAGGGAATAGATAGACGGTTTGCTTCTGCCGAAGTAGGAAACCCTTTGGCATCTCTTAGTGGTGGCAAATTGGCAATGGGCCAGGGCACCAGGCCCTAAATAACCAGGGCCAAGGGCTAAATCTGACCCAAGGTCCTTGCCCAGGCTTGAAATGTAGACTTGTGGCTTGGCCACAATTGGTTTTAAATCTAGCCCCCGTGGCCGAGCTGAGCTGGCCTGGCCTGGCCAAGGTCCATAAGTGTGACCATTTTCGTTTTTTATAAAACATGAGCTTAATGCTTGGCCCGTCTAGCTCGAACCATTAACAAAGCCATGCCGGACCCCCTAGCTAAGAGACTGACTGGCCCACCTAGTGAAGGCCCTTTGGCCCAGTCCATGGCTCAATGGCCCAATCCATGCCTCAGCCTTTGAGCCATGGCTGGGCCAAGACGGGCTCGAGCCCAGCCTTGGACGCGGAGGCTGAGGCATTCCTGTTGTCATATTTCCTCGGCCTCTCTTATTTTGGACACTCCCTTTCTCACAGTTATTGGAAGCCTCTCTCTCTTTTCTTGGACATTCCTGTTTTTCATAGGTTAGATTAAGCCTCCACTGGCCAAAATTGCATTAACATATTTACTCGTAATTTTGCCAAGTCAAACAACAAAGCAACCAAATACTTGAGCAAACCTGCCTAATAAAACAATATTTGAGTCATTTCCTTCAATATTGGTTGAACCCCCGTCACTTTCCTGTTGCATTACATGAAGTGGGTATAGCATCAAGGAAAATTAGACACCCCCAAACTGTCGTTCTAGGCATCCCCTTTAAAGTGTGATGCTGAGCATGTGGTGGTCTTGGAAAACGTACCCTCATTTTGACCACTCAAAAAGCAAAACAATTGATTTTTTTTAACTATAATACCGCCATTTTAACCTACATTTTTTTCCGAAAACGTAATATCCAACCTGCGCTGTTCTAGCATAAAAGTGTGTCAGAGCAGCTTTTGATCTTCAAAATATGCTGGTTTGATACAAAATGTATCGAATTGGCTACTAAAAAATGTGTCAAACCGGCTTCTAATATTAGAAATCAGCCAGTCTAACACATCATGTGCCAGACTTGTTTATATTGAAATTGTGCCCGTTCGATACAAAATGTTCTGGTTTGGCTTAAAATGTGCTGGACTAGTTTTTATATTCAAGTTGTGTCGGTTCGGCACATTTTTGTACCAGAGGGCTTCGAGAGAAACGTGAGTCAAAATAAGGGTATTTTAGCGGAGCTTAAAAATTCTTAAAAGAATTTATTTTGAAGGATTTATTCTCTCCATAAGACCAATAGTACCAATAGTTTAAACTTTAAAGAATGACAAAACACAAGAAAAGGCTTCCTATAAGAGATAAAAACGAGGATATAAAGCACATGAAAGATCGCTTCTTTTTAGGGAAATTTGTTTGACCTGATTATCACTGTATTAAGCACTTTTTTTATAAAAAGAAAGGGATTGAGTCTTAGAAGAGAAGCCCGCAGCTTAAAAAAAAATGCAATTTTTAGGCTTTCTTTTACATATATATTTGAGATTTAAGGTCGGCTTCAAGAGAACATAACTCAAAAAAATATTCTCAAGTTAATGAGGGTTAGAGTGCTCATGTTATAAAGGGAAAATTATAATACCCTTCAAAATTAACTTACTAGACATCTTACCCTCAATAGTATGGGTATCACATCCCAATACTGTTTTTTTTTGTATTTATCCTCCAGTAAAAAAGTCTAGTTTGAAACTAAAGTGCCGTCACGTGTTATTAGGCACTCCTCTCTCTCTCTCTCTCTCTATGCCCAAACTCTCTCTCTCTAAAAAGCCCCATTTCATTTTCTCTTGTGACCGAACTCTTACTCTCTACAAAAAAAGTCGTCGGAAAGCTCTCTTAGATATGATAATTATCCAAAAGCACCCACATAAAAAAATCTCATATTATGTGTGATTGATATTGTTATTGATAAGTTTCCTAAAGAAAGTAGAATTCCAAAAAGATTAGGATTTTAGATATATCTCTTTGTTTTTTAGATCGATGTAATACATAGGAAGTTTCCTATTTGGTGTGGGCTCCGAACCTTATATACATTATATGAAAGTGCAGAGAATTTGTATGCCTTATTTAGGTTACTATATTGAAAAAGTGGCTTCCTCTAAAGAGAGAGGCATGGCGTCGTCAGCATCATCAACATCGACAAGGCTTCTCTTAGAGAGAAGAGAATTTCCTATATAAAGAAACGCCACGGATGTACCTCCTGTAATTTGAGAGGAAGGTTTTTTGTAGAGAAGCGGTTCCCATGAAGATTAACAACATAGATGTACCTCATGTAGCACGAATATGCCTCATATAAATAAAGAGCCTGGTTTCTTTTAGAGAAGCGGTTCCTATGAAGAAAGAAACGTCACAGATGAGCCTCCTGTAAATTGAGAGACTGTTTATTGTAGAGAAGCGGTTCTTGTAGAGAAGCAGTTCTTGTGAAGATTAACGCTACGGATGTGCCTACTGTAACACAGATATGCCTCCTGTAAAATGAGAGCTTTAGATAAGCAGTTTTCATGAAGATTTTTGGTAGTTTTCCCTTTAGAGAGAAAATATCGGTTGCTTTCGAGGCTCTCCTCATCCACAATGGTTTAATTATGGAATGAATGTGGTCTCTTCCTGGACATAGCCCCTCTAGGGAGAACCGCGTAAATCTTTGTGCTTTTTATGTTTCTAGCTACATAAGTACATTATCTTGGCGGGATTCAAATATTTGGGATTCCTATTTCCTCATCTAAGAGGGCTCTTAAATCCTAACAAGTGGTATCAGAGCACATGGTTCAGTACAAGGCTAGTGTTTGTACATTCTGTTGAAGAAAAGCAAATGACAAAGTATGCGAGTGTTTTATTTGAGGTGCAGAAATATGATGGTAGGCATAATTTTTTAGCAAAAATTATAAAGGAATTTATTTGGCGAAAGATGAACAATTTATTAATCTATCCATTGGATATTGGCATGGTGAACGGGTGATTTTTTATATCAAGGTCGATATTGTTGGATATGATGATTATTAAAATCACCCATATAAAAGAATCTCATATTATGTGGGATTGAGATTGATATTGATAAATTTCCTAAAGGAAATAAAATTCCAAAAGGATTAGGACTCTGGATATATCTCTTGGTTTTTTAGATATATGTAACACATAGGAAGTTTCATATTTGTTGTGGGCTCTTAATCTTATATATATAATATGAAAGTATAGAGAACTTGTGTACCCTATTTGGGTAACTATATGGAAAAGATAGTTTCCTCTAGAGAGAGAAGCATGGTCTCGTCAGCATCAAAAAGGTCTATCTTAGAGACAAGAGAACTTCCTACGGAAAGAATCGTCACATATGTACCTCCTGTAAATTGAGACGCTGGTTTTTTATAGAGAAGTGGTTCCCATGAAGATTAATGTCATAAATGTGCCTCTTGTAAACTGAGAGTCTGGTTTCTTGTAGAGAAGCGATTCTCATGAAAATTTTGGGTAGTTTCCCCTTTAAAGAGAGAAGGTATCGATTCTTCTCAAGGTTCTCCAAAATCTCCTCTTGGAGAGTGGTTTAACTATATAATTGAAAGAGAGAAAGTATCAATTGCTCTCAAGATTCTTCAGGATATCCTCCTTGATTGGAATGGAGATGGTTTCTTCCCGAACAATGATTTAAATGTAGAATAGAGATGAGAAATCGACGACGGTGCCGATGGAGAGATTGGGTCTAAAAAGGTTTACTCGTATCGAGAGTCATAGAAAAAACTCTATGTCCCAAAATTTATAATATAACTTTCGTTGGTATATAGCTTGTGTTCTCGCCTATTTTACGGGGGTTAACTATATAAATCTTTGTGTTTTTGTAGATTGTGTGTTTCATGCTTTATTTTTTCTATTGTAGCTCGTGCTTCCGTCTATTTTGTTTCAAACTATATAAGTACATGAACTTGGTGGAATCCAAATATTTGGGATTATTGTTTTGGCATCTAAGAGGGTTCTTAGAAAACAAAAACTCAGATCCCGACGCTACCTCACCTGTAAAATATCATTCCTATTTTGGTACTAGTAAAACTCGTCGAAAAACTCAGATCCCAGTTACTCACCCACTCAGTAATCATCGTTAATATCAAATTCCAGCCGTCCTATCAACCCAAAAATCGTTGGTAAGACTTTCGGCCATATTCGAACACCAAATTCACTACAAGATCAGCAAAGGCCCTCATTAAAAAACTTATCATCTTGGCCATTGATTGCCGGAAATCTGACTTACAGATCCAACGAATGTGTCCTGACCGCTGTAATTTCAGTGAAGTTGGTGCCATTGTGGGAGGACCTGCTTCTGCTAGATTTGGAGGGGAAATCGGCAAGTGGAATGAGAGAGAAAGAGTTAGGGTTTTCTAATGGAAGGAAATGAAAAGTGCAGAGCATGACATAACACAGGAGACCCATATGGGTTAGGAGACCCATATGGGTTAGAGAGAGAAAGAGGCGACGTGTTTTAAAGAGAGAAGGATTAGAGAGAGAGAGAGGGGACATGTTTTAGAAAAAGAGAAGAAAGAGGGTGGCAAAGAGAGGAGATAGAATAAAAAAACTGATATAGAGAAAGAAAAAAAAAAAGGGATTTTGGTTTCAATTTTATTGATAAGGACATTTTCGTTTCAATTTTATTCGCTTTTTGACAGATAAATAAATATAAGAAAAAATAATATTAGGATTTAAGGTGTGATATTAAAAATATTAAGAATATTTTTAATTTAAAAATGATAATAATAATAATATGAAATTCACGTTTTAGTTTTATCTTTATAAATAGAATTGACTAAATAAATTTAAAATATAAGATATTGATCAAAATAAATTTAAAGATAAACCTATATCCCAAAATTCAAAGAAATATCTTATTTAAATAATAAGTAAAAACCAAAATATTGCAAATAACTTTTGGCTAAATATGGCTTTGTAAACTCACAGAGTGCTTGTGCATCCTTCCACCGGTCAACATAGATACTTTTTCATTTCATTGTAAAATGGGTGTAGTTTACATAAGGTTTTAATATTTAAAAATCAAATTAAGGCACACCAGCAAACTTTGTCATAAGATGCATTTTTATTATCAAAAAGTTTTAGTATGGTGTAAGAATATATTTTCATCTCTAATTATAAAAAAATTAAACTTTAAAATAGTTCGAATCAAGCAGATGCATGAAAATATTGAAAATAATGTGTTCCACTATGTACTTTTAGGATTTAAAATTCCTTTTTCCCCTCTATGTTTATACATCTGATGTCATCATGTCAACTAGTTGTTTTTCCAACCTCAAAACAGCCTTCGAGGATTTTAAAGGTGTACCTCAATTTTAAATTTCAAGGTGACTTCATTATATAAACTTTTTTTCTTACACACAATTAGCTTATAAAAGCACTAATCATGCAATTACAGCTTTGCTCCTATGGGAGCACATATTGTACGCTTAAGCAGCTTGCAAATTCCTTCTCTCTTTTTTTTACCATAATTTTGAGAGCCATCTAAGAATCACGATGGTTATTGAAAAAATAAAGGAAAAAAATAAAAGGATTTCTGAGTTCTTCAACATATAGTTATTGCCCTCCAAATGTTCACAGAATCATGATGGTTATTGAAAAAAAAAAGAAAAAAAAAAAGGATTTCTGAGTTCTTCCACATATAGTTATTGCCCTCCAAATGTTCACTTTTTTGACATTATACAACATGGGTTTATATCCTCAAATTAGAGTCCAAAATATTAAGGTTGGTTTTCACCAAGGGAGCAAATAGACAGCATGCTCTTACAAAAGTGTGGAATCTTTCCACCAATCTCTTGGTATGAGGCAGCATAACATACTCTGGTTGATTGTATATTTACTCCAACCAAAGGACGAGCTCATGAGGCTTTCTTTTATTGATATAGTGGGACCATATTCATGCAAAAGACGCTACTCTTTTTCAGACAATTCTAAGAACTTTTTACACCAAAATTACATCTTAAGATAAATTTTGGAGGTACACCCTACTTTGATTATTTAAGGTTGCAAGCTTAAATAAAATGTATGCCAAATTTATTCCCAAAATTTGGGATCCGTAGCTGAGAGAGTAAATACATAGATACAAACAGAGTGCAAGAGAGGGGAGAGGGGGGTCATGATACACAGGCCAGTGCCGTAGCTCGGTCCAGTGAGATGAATACTCCGCAACAGCAATAAGCAAAATACAAAGCTTGATGAGCCTCAATAGCTAAACCAGGCTGTTTATAACATCTGCTATTTAAATGGCAGGCTGGTGTTCAATCACAAGTTCAATCTGTAGCCCATCAGTTTGTAACATGATTAAAAATGGAGTTCATCACCAAGATAATATAATTTTGCATAGTACGAGGCAAGGTAATACCTGGTCAACTGTGAAGCAGCTCCCTCTCATGATGTGACCTTGTCAAGGTATCCTTTAGGAAAAATTAGAAAAACAAAAACAAAAAAACCGTGATATTCTCCAAAATAAAACCTGATGATAAACATGATAAAATTTTATGGTTTGTTGCAGGAGATACCCAAATATGGTTTGTTGCAGAAGATTATTGAAAACAACCATTAAGTGTTTCATTGTAGATGGACAAGCATTTATTGATGTAGAAGACCAAGCAATGAAACTTTGGAGATGCCACACCAGCCAGTAGGGGTTTTGTTGTCAAGGGCATCCATTTGTTTGTCACAGAAGAATCGTAAGGACATCTACTTTATGGTTTTTTGTAGAAACAAGCACAATTATCAATGTGGTTGACACAGCACAGAAGCTTCGAGATGCCACACCAGCCATTAGGGTATGTAGAAGAAGTCCATCCATTTAGGGTAAGTTGCAGAAGAAAAACAAAACACCAGTCTTGGGGTTTTGTTGCACATGGTTGAGATTTACCAGTGTAGATGATCAAACACTGAAGCTCTGGAGTTTGTTGCAGAAGACACCAATTTAGGGTTTGTTGAAGAAGACAACCAATTTGGGGTTTGTTGCAGAAGATTAATGAAAACACCATTTTAGGTTTTGTTGCGGGATGGAAAGCATCTACGATGTAGACGACCAAGCAATAAAGCATTGAAGCCATCACATTTGGCGATGCAGGCAAAGAAAACCGCATTAAGCCAGAAGGAGATGATAGGAGCAAAACCCATGAAGCAGTGGTAAGTTCCCCTATGAGCCGTTTAAGCAGAAGCATAACTCTAAAACAACACAAAGGTAGAGTGGTCTTAAGTTAAAATTTCTAGATACAGAAACCTGTAATCTAAACTTTCAATTACTCTCATCAAATATGTCCATGCTCAGAACGTACAAAAGGAAATGGTCATCATAAACAGGCTTCGCAAAAGAGCAAGCAGCATTAAGTAGGAAATAACTTATCCAACATCCAGCAGTTGAGGAAAGCATTCTAGTGTGCAACAGAAGAGTGTGAAAATTTGTCTAGTCGCTAATCCACTTTATAGAAGCCATTCATATATACCACAATGTCCACTGATCTATTGAAGTCTCTCTAGGTCTTCAGACTGAAACCATATGTTGTCATCACCAGAGTCTGAACTCGCTCAGCATTCAAGTACAGTAACTGAGATATTCAATTCTCATGTCATAGAAAAATTTTATTTAACTCCGGCTCCGTGTTCCACGCCGACCCCTTGGACTCCTGAAATTGTTATAAAGAGACGTAATTTAACAGCACCCAGTGTCAAGAAACCGGTCAAGGATGCGTTATGGTATGAGCATTATAGTAGATTAACAGCGTACCCATTGGCGTAAGATGAATCACGATAGCTTCGGCTATAAACAGGTGACCTGCTGTAACTACGACAAGGTGAATAACTGCGGTGTCATGGTGATCTTCTACCACGTGGACTGTAGCTCAAAAAACCAAACAGTTAAATTGCAGACCAATGAACGGCAATGCATGCATCATACCAAAGCAAACCATTGTCTTTCTCTCTCTCTCTCTCTCTCTCTCTCTCTCTCCTCCTACCTCTACTACCTACTACACTACCTACTACTACTACCTACTAACAACTAACTAACTAACTAACGTAACTAACGTAACGTAACTAACGTAACGTAA